CACTTCTATTTTTTTTTTAAGTCTAGAGTAAATGTAAATTTCACCCAGAAATCTATAAGTCATTGGGAGAGGTGGTGTGATGCCCGCTGATTGATATTTTCCTAAATAAATTAATAAATTGGGCCTTTTAAACCCACCGTCTGCCCATTGTCTTTTCTGTGTATTTTCTAGGCTTTCAGACATTATGTTATCAGACTGATAGAATGGGGGGACAGAGGTATGGATTTCTAAACTGGAAGGAGGGTAGGCTTCTATCAGCAGACTGTCAATGTCCTTTTTAGGACTTCATTATTCCACTAGAGAGACAAACTACTAGAATTTCACACAGGTGAAAGAAATAGTTAAGATGCCAGTATCAGTGTGACCTTCAGGAAAGGACAACCATAAGCTCCCTCTTACTGACCATCCTCACCACTCAAATCAAAGGGCTTAGGGTCTGGACTTCTAAGGTTAACACTCCAGCACTTTTAACTGCATCTCTCAATGCCTCAGTTTTCTTACTGTAAAATAATATAACTTCAAAATATTGCTCGAGGATGACATTAGAGATATATGGAAGTACTGAGACGTGTCTTGCACAGAGTCGAACAGTCTGTCAGTGCTCAATATGGTACATCACCAGTCATCTCTAGGCATCAATCTTATTTGTGAATTCCAGGTAAAAAAGATCCCTTTTTCTGCTCATGTTGCAGGGATATGGAGAAGATAAAGTTTATATGTAAAATGTCATCAACTCTCTGGAGAGAGTATCTGTTTTAAAGTTAGTGAATTCTCTTCAAGTAAATCTGTAAGTGAATCAATAGACAATCTCTGTCCTAGGTTTGTAAGCCTACACATTTATTTCTGACCCTATGAAAAATGTATACCTGTTATATTCAGTAATCAGTCAGAGTTCGTTTCTACAAGAATAAGGAGAAAATAATTTGTTAAAGATATGCAGTAAACCAAGAAGACTAGAACTAAATTATTACAACTATGGGTTCAAAAAATTATTTTCTGTGAAAACTTGACAAAAATTAGAAATGTTTCTTTCAACAAAATGTGTTTACAATTAAATTGCTTCTAGACTTTCCTAAACTCTTTCCCGTATTGAAGTATACTGGATTACTATGTGGTCTATGATGTCAAAGATATTTTTACTTCTGACTTCTGATAATGAAGGTTTAGAACAACACTTACCTTTTTTTGACATATACTATTTGCCAGACTCTCAATCTACTGAAACAATACTAATCCCAGTAGCCTATTGTTTCCACAGTCCTTACCACCGCATTGATTATATAGCGTTAGAAAAGTCTAGAAAATGTATCCTCACTTTTTTAAAATACTTTCTTTCTCCAACTCTCAGGTTTCCATTAATTTCTAGCTAGGCAAAATGTCATACTTTACATTTCACTGTAGTTTGTTTGTTTGTTTTTCTCAGTTCACAGATCAGGCCTTGTTTCTTACAGGATTTTATCACTGGCAGCTTGAGGAAGATCAAAGGAAGCCATGGTTACTGGGTGGGGCTGTCTCAGGGTGGACCCAGCAGCCCTTGGCTTTGGCAAGATGGCTCTGCTCCTTCCCCTGACCTGTAAGTCTCTGAGGAAATGTTATAAGACAAATTAGAAACATGAGGGAACTCAAAAGTGTACTTTACTTTATACCTTAGATTTCCTCCAGGAGGCATAAGCAGTTTGATAATTTTACTTAATGCTGACTGGAATTAAACTAACGTAATTAAGAGTAGCTTCAATGCTTCTAAATCTTTCTCCTTCTCAGCCCTGCTGTTATCCTCTAGAAAAACCAAACCAAAATTTGTCTGAATGAACAATGTAATTAT